TAGCATTACTCCTATATTAATTAAAAATAAACAACAATAATAATAATAATAATAATAAAAAGTTAGTATTTATTTAATATTTTTTCACAAGTGGATATTATAATTTTAACATACATTTTATAATGACTATGAAAATAGAAAATAAAAATGATATATAAATAACTTAAATTAATGAAATTTTTAAAATAATATTATTTCGTGAAATTAAAAAAATTAAATATTTAAAAAAAAATAAAAATAATAAAAAAAAAATAAAAATAATTGAAAAAATAAAAAAAATATTAAATTCAAAAAAATATAATTTTATTTAATTTTAAAACACAAATATTAAAGATATAGAAACTATCTCTACATAATATAATAATAGATACTATAGTATCTAGCTATAATATTGACAGCATGGAAATATAATTATAATATTAACAATAGTATGAATATTAATAATTAAGGTATTCACCAAAAAACATGGAGGAAAATAAATTAATCATTGTTATTATTTGTTTAGGTAAAATTCACTCAACAATTTTATTTTAATAATCATTTATTACTATCATCCAGAAATTGTGTTGAAAAAAAAAATAAAAAAAATAAATATTATAATAAAATGAAAAAACAGATAAAGATCATTTTTTTTTTTTTTTTAATTTTTTAATTTTTCAAAAGATTTACATTTTTAAATGCCGTCACTATTTCCCTAATCAATCATAGTTTTTATTGGGAATCTATTTTACTATTTTTTTATTCGCATCCCAAATAATTAAAGAAGTGGTTTAAAATGTATATCATCATAAATAGACAATGTTTTTTTATTTTTTTATTTTTTCAGTTTTTTTTTAGGTCCATTTATAGATTTTTTTTTAACTACAAATAATAATAAAAATGATGATAATAGATTTATAAATAATATTTTCTAGTTTATTATTATATTTATTTTTATTATATAATATTATTTTTTTTATTTTTTTTTTTTATTTGATTTCTATAATCATATTCTCATAAAAAAAAAAAAGATTTTAAATAGATAGTATAAAAAATAATTATAAAAAAAAAAAAGGCATTATTTATTTTTAAATCTAAATAAACCAAACATGAAATGTTATTTTTATTCGAAAATTCGCTTTAATTTTCAACCAAAAATCAATTTAAAAAAAAAAAAAAAATCATTTGTCGTTAAAAAAAATAAAAATTAAAAAAAATAAATAAAAAAAAACAAAAAAACCAAATTATTTTGATGGTTTACCAAAATTCAAAAAAATATTAAAGAAATTTAATAATAGAAAAAATCGTTTTAGTTTAAACAATAAAATTTCATTGATAATTTAATATAAAAGAAAGATGATTTTTTTTATTAGTTGCACCCTTTTTTTACACATATTATTTTTTAATTAATTTTTTTTTTTTTATTTATGTCGTAATCAGCGTTTTCTTTTTTTTTTTTTTTTTTTTTTTTTTTTTTTTTTTTTTAAAAAATTATTATTATTAATTATAAAACTATTGTACTATTTTTTTATAATATTATTCCAATAGCTATAACAATAAAATAATAAAAATAATAAAAATTTTATTTTTTTAAAAATTAATTAATAAAAAAAATAAAATAAAATAAATTTTAAAATAATAAAATAAAATATATTATTTAGTTTTCGACTATTTTATAATAATAACATTAATAAAATACCTTTTTTTTTTTCAATTTAAAATTATTATAAAAATAAATACACTTTTTGTAATATTAAAATAAAATAAATATAGACACACACAAATTAAGAAAAAATGGAAGAAATTTTAAGTCAAGAACAAATCAATGCTATTAAATCAACTATACCATTATTAGAAGAACATGGTGTAAAGATTACAAGTACATTTTATAAAAATTTATTTGAAGCACATCCAGATTTAATAAATTTATTCAATCACTCCAATCAAAGAAATGGCAAACAACCAATCGCTTTAGCCAATACCATTTACCAATCAGCTCTTCACATTGAAAGAATGAATGAAATCAATTTAACCCCAATCGTACATAAACACGTTGCATTAGGCATCAAACCATCACATTATCCAATTGTTGGCCAACATTTGATTGGTGCATTAAAACAAATTTTAGGTGATGAAGCTACCCCAACCATAGTCAGAGCTTGGACTGATGTTTATCGTGCCGTTGCTCAAGCCCTTATTGAAGCCGAACAAGAACTCTACTACGAAACCCAAGAACAATTTGGTGGCTGGAAAGATCTCAGAGAATTCGTTGTCGATAAGAAAGTCGAAGAAACCCCAATCATCACATCATTCTACTTAAAACCAGCTGACGGAAAAGATATTGCAGTTCATTTACCAGGTCAATATATTACAATTAAAATCGAATTATCAGGTGATGGTGTCGATATCAAAGAAAGTGCCAGAAGAACTTACATTAGACATTACTCTTTATCAGATAATCCAAATGGCGAATATTATCGTATCTCTATCAAGAGAGAGGACGGTGTCAACGGTAATCCATCAGGTATCGTTTCAAATCATCTCCATAACAAAGTTAATGAAGGTGATAAATTATTATTAGCAGTTCCAGCTGGTGACTTTGTTATCGATCCAGAGGATGAAACCCCTGTACTTTTAGTTTGTGGTGGTGTCGGTGTCAATCCATTAATTGTTATGGCCAAAGAAACCTTAGTTCAACAACCAACCCGTCAAATCGATTTTATTTATTCCATTCAAGATAAAGATAACTATTTACATATGAAAGAGTTAGAAGAACTCCAAGCTGAATATCCTGATAACTTTAAATTAATTACTGTATATACTAAAAACCAAGGCCACATCACTTTAGATTTATTAAAAGAATACACCGAAAACTTTGATAACAAAGATGACACTGAAGTTTTCCTTTGCGGTCCAATCCCATTCATGGTTACTGTCAACAATGGCTTACAATCTTTAGGTTTCCCAAAAGAAAATATACATTACGAATTATTTGGTCCATTAACCCCAGTTTTTAATATTACTAAAAATGGTTTAGAAAAAAATGAAAACGAAACTGAAAATTAATAAAAAATCTAAAAATAAATAATAAAATAAAAAAAAACATTAAAAAATAAAAAATTATAAATTAAATAAAATATTAATATTTAAATAGAGTTATATAAAAAATAATTGGATTTTAGAAAAAAGATTAATATAAAAATTTTCAAATAAAAATTTTTTTTTCTCACTTTTTTTCATTTTTTTTTTTTGTAATATTACAAAATTTGATAACAAATAATTAACAAGACATATAATGAAATTAACCATTTATAATAATATAGAAAGTAAAGATATAGAAATAAATTCTTTTAAAATAGTAGTGGTGGGGGAGATATATAGTGGGAAATATTCATTTGTTAATAGGATATGTAACAGGTGTTTTGAAGAAACTAGAGAATTTCAATACACTGATTTCAAAATTGGGTTTTTTAAAAATGAGAGAAATGAATTTATAAAAACTCAGTTATGGATCGATTATAGAGATCAAAGGTTTAGAAATCAAAGGTATTATTTATTAAAAGATATGCATAGTATGGTATTTGTTTATGATATAACAACTAAAAGAACTTTTGACTGTATTGTAAATTATTTATACCCAGAGTATCAAGACTACATACTAAAACAACAGCCTGAACATCCTCCACAATTAATGGTAATAGGAAATAAATCAGATTTAAGAGGTCAAATAAATTCCAAACAAAGTGTAGATACTGAAGAGGCCAGAGAGTTTGCAAATTCAATTGGTGCTTTGTTCTTTGAGGTCTCTGCAAAAGATAATATAAATATTGATGAATCCGCCATAGAGTTAATTAAAAATTTAAAAAAAAATTTCAATAATAACATAAACCAACCAAATAATAACAATGATGATCAATCATTTTTTTCAAATTGTATAATAAACTAAAATAATAAAAATATTTAAAAAAATATAAATATTTGTTTTTTTTTTTTTTTTTTGTTATATTATAGCATAAATTAATTATACTATGATATTATATAATCCCTATATATTATATAATGTATAGGTAGTTGTATGGTTAATTTTATTTATTTACAAAAAAAAAATGTATATTCGTTATATTATATAATTATTATTATTAAAAAAAGTTTAAGAGTAACCTAAACCAAATTTTTCTTTTCTGACCACTGCCTGAATTGGTTCCTCTAGACCTTGACCAGTAGCACCTAAACCACCACCTAACCAACCCATCTTTTTTAATAGACCTGTACCAACGTTTGAGGTTGGAATTGGTTGAACATTTTCAGCAACAATGTCACCATGTCTAACACCTGTAGTACTAGTTTTTTGGTGATGATGTGGTGATTGGTTATTGTTGCCCTTTTTCTTTTGCTGCTGCTGTTGTTTTTTAGATATTTTTTTAGATGCCAATATTTGCTTTTTGGTTTGATGAATATTTAAATAGCTTGAAGTAACAGTACCATTTCTATATTTATTGCCTTTATTTGTATATTGATAGGACCCTGAAGGTGATGATGGGGGTTCTCTATTCAATCCCACTAAGCCTGCAGGTTTCTTTGGATCGTCAACACTATTGTTATTGTGAGTACCACCAACCAATGTATCATGAAGCCAGTATGCACCTGTTTCAACTTGACATGCTAAAATATAACTATCTTTTTTCTTTATTGATGGTTTTTTAATATTTGATGGTACTAATAAACAGACGGCATTCCTATCGCGAATCTTTTTTATCTCTCTAAAAATTTCGTACTGTTTAGATAAAAATACAATTTGATGGGTCGCCATCTTTGACATTGGCCACAATGGTACTTCACTAAAGTACAAAAAGAAAAAAAAAAAAAAGAAAATTAATAAATGATGAACTTTAAATAAATATTGGTTGGATTAGTTGGTGACTACAAACTTTGAATATTTATGTAAAATAAGTCTATCAAATAAATTTGCTACTGATGTTATTTGTTTAACACTATATTGTTGAATGGATGTATTTTTATCAAATAACTCTGTAATTTCTTTTTTAAGTGTTGGCTGTGATTCGACGCATTCTGATAAATATGGATAAAGCTCTTCAATATTCTTTTTAACCTCTTTGTATATCTTTAAGTTTTCTTCATTAATAGTTTCTGTTTTTTTTGAAAATGAATCATATGCATCTAAATCAATAATTTCTGGTACTAAATTATTATTATTATTATTATTATTATTATTATTATTATTATTATTATTATTATTATTATTATTATTATTATTATTATTATTATTATTATTATTATTATTATTATTATTGTTAGTGTTATTGTTATTGTTATTATTAGTATTGTTTGAGGTTGTAGTGGTTGTAGAGGTTGTGGTAGTTGTAGTGGTTGTAGTTGATGATTTCTTTGATGGTATTGATGGTATTGATGGGCCATGAACCTTTTTAATCCAGTCAGAGAAAGAATTCTTTCTAACTTCTTCTTGATCAGTAAAATCAGATTCAGAGTCAAGTGTGTAGCATTCATCAGAAATTTCAACAATTTCTCTTTGCTTAAATGGGTTTGTGAAAAGTTCATCTCCTGATGGTTCTGAGTTGATATAGTTATAGCACGAGGTAGTTCTGACATTATTGGAATCTGATGAGTCTAATGAGTCTAAAGAGTCGTAAGAATCTTCCTCAACACCATTGATGAGATGAGAAATTTTTAATTCTAGTTTAATTTGGTCATTACTATCTTGATTGTCATAGTCATCACTATCCATTAAATCGGACTCTGATGCATTATAAGAGAGGTCTTCATATGAATCTTCATCATCATTATATGAATCATCGTTTTCATAGCCATCATCCGAGTCATCTTCATTTTCTTCATCATCTTCGTCATCTTCGTCACTGTCATATTGGTAATGTAAATCGTATTGGTTTGTATCATCTTCATCGTCATAGTCAGTATTGCTATCATCATCTGAAATTTCAATAATTTCATGACAATCAGAGTCACAACTTGCATCGTTGTTTTCAAATAATTGACTGAATTTGGATTTTGGCTCGGGAATTGTACTAGTAGTTGTTGTACTGGTAGTAGTTGTTGTTGAGGTCGATGTTAAAGATGAGGATGAAGATGATGAGGAGCTTAAACTAACTGTGGTATCTGGTACTATTTGAGTATTATTATTATTATCATTATTGTTCTTGTTATGTAATTCACCAGATGAGGAAATTAAAAAAACTTCATTTTTATCAGCTTGAAAAGATACTCTTTTTGCAAGAATTGGTGGTGAGAATACTTTTTCGATTGGTTGTTCATAAGGGTCACATAAATAAGATCCACCAACAAATTGAATTTTTTTACTATATTTAGATTCATATTGTTTCTTCTTTTTTGATGACTTTGTTTTATTTTGAATTCTTTGTTGTCTGCACTTTTTCTTGTATGAGGTTGTATCCAAGTCAATCTCTTCATCACTATCAAGGCCACCAGTTGCATTGTTTTCGTTATCACTAGAACCTCCCACATTGTTGCCACCAGCACCACTACTTTTTCTATGACTATGATTATTTTTCTTTTTATTCTGTCTATTGCTAAATGTTGACATTGGATCGTCGCCCAAATATAGACCTGTTAATATTTGATTAGATTGATAGCCATTGTCATCATCTGATACATTCATTTGCCCAATATATTCTAATATTACAGATTCATTTTCTTTTTCTTGTTTTAATTCTAATTTGGTTTTATATTGATCTTGGTCATAATAAATGTTGTCCAATTGAAAGCTATGAATTTCATCTTCATTATATCTTCCTTGTTTTTGTTGCTTAACCTTTTTTTGTTGATTAATTTTGCTATTTGGATCATTCAAATTATTGCTATTTGGACTATTTTGTTGCAGCTGCTGTTGATTTTGTGCTAATTTCTTTTTATTTTTGCCATTATATACATGATTACTATTAGCTCTATTTTGATCCAATGTTCCATTTGCTAATTGCTCTTGATAGTTTTTTTTATCTTTTTTCTTATCCTTTTTCTTATTTCTTTTTGCCATTTTATTATTATTATTTTTTTCTTCATTCTCTTTTTTTTTTAATTGTTTTGGGCTTATTGTTGGAGATGATTCATTATTTTTATTTACTATAGAACTACTAAAAAAACTGCATGGTGCTGGTTTATTTCTTTTAAAATTTACACCAAATGAAATTCCACCAACTACTATGGTTTCATTGTTATTATTATTAATGTTATTTTCATTATTATTATTATTGTTATTATTATTATTATTATTATTTGTATTGTTATTTTCCATTTGTATGAATGAATATTATATTGTTGTGTGATATTATTAAAAATAAAGATACAAAAAAAACAAAAAAAAAAGATATATATATATTAAAAAAATTTTATTTTTAAAAAACTAAGAAAACAACAATTAATTTAGGTTGTTTTGTTAATAAAATTTTATGATAAACAAGAGAGAGGGACCTATTTATTTTTCTAATATTATAAAAAAAAATTTAAAAAAATAAAATAAAAAAAAAAATTAAAAAAAAAAATAAAAAAAAAATAAAAAAATAATTTAAATTTTATTTTTTTTTTATTTTTATTAAATTTTTATTTTATTTTATTTTATTTTAATTATTATTATTATTTCAAAATACAACAATAATAATTATTATGTATATTAATTGTTAATTATTATTGGTGATAACGAAATTTCTAATCTTTTTTTAAATCAGTTGAAAAATTATGTGGAAATCCATTTTCTAAAATTTTTTATTTTGGGAATTTAAAAAACCTCTTATGTTTCTACTAAATACAGGTGGCATGAATTTGTATCTCTTTGAAGTGGAACTTTTACACAAAATTGAATATATACTGAATTTGAAATTTTGATTGATTATTTTAAAACTCTAATAAATATACAATAATAAAATACCAATATTGGTTAATTTTTGAAAAAAAAAATATTTAATTTGAATTTTTTTTTTTTTTTTTTATTAATATCTTAACAAATAATTTATATTTTTGTTATTCCTTGATATTAATGAGAGATGGTAAAAAAAAGAATAATTGATTACATTAGAGTGGCATGGTTGAGGTATAGAGAGAATAAAATCTAAAAACCATCATTGAGCAATATATTTGTATCAACTGTATTTTGAAAATTAATTAAATTCCTAGCTAAAAGTGTTTTCAAATATGAACAGTAGTTGAATTGTATTGGATTGCATCTTTTCTAATGTCTAAGATTTCTTTTCTATTTTCTATAATTTATTTTAATTGAACTATTTTTTTTGCTATCTATTATATCTATTACTATTTATTGCTTTATTTTTTTTGAATTAATGTTATTTTTATGAGAATTGGATTTTTATGAAAATTTAAAATAAATTTTTTCTTTACTGTTTAAACAATACTAAAATTATTATTTTTAAATTTATATTTTTTTTTTTTATTAATTTATATATTTATATTTTTATATTTTTATATATATATTGTTATTATTGAATAAAAAAATTTACAATGATTTATATTTAAAAATAATTAAAATATTTTAAAATAAAAAATATAATTAAAAAAAATTAAAAATATTTTTTCAAGAATAAGGGTCCCAAAATGCAAAGAAAGGAAATTAATGTAAAAAATACAATCATATGATTTTAAAAAAAAATGATAAAGAAAAGGAAATAATTTGAAAAATTTGAATCCATTTGTTGATTAATTTAATTTTTATTATTTTTTAATTTAATTTAATTTTTTTTATATTTAAATTTTTTAATTTTTTTTTTTATTTTTTATTTCACCCCCACAAAAATATTTTGTAAATAATAAATAACATAGATAATAAATATAAAAAACTATAGTTTTTTTTTTTTTTATAGTTTTTCTTATTTTAATATTTTAAATTTTATGTATAAAATAAATAGTTAATTATAATTTGGCAACGAA